GGGAGGGAAGGATGCCGAAGTGCAAGCACTGTGTTGGGAGTGGTTATCAAGATGCCGACGCCATGCCGCCGACCCCCAGAAGAGGGATGAAGTTCGCGGGTGAGGCCTCTTGGGGACCCTCTGCGGGCCTCTTTTGGGGCCTCCTTAGGCCTCCTTAGGCCTCTTGAGAGTTTCTGCTGTCTCGGGGGTCCTCTTGGGCGGAGGGGTCGGAATGTCAGTTCGAGTTCCCTCTGCTGGGCCCCTCTTGGGGCCCTGTTGGGGCTCTCTTGGGCCATCTTGCGCGCCCCTCTTCGGCCGTTTTGAGGCCCTCCTGGGGGTTTCTTGGACCTTCTTGGAGCGATCATGGGGGCCTCTTGAGCCGCCTTGGGCGCTGATGAGACCCAAAATGACAAGATGTTTAAATTATACGTTTTGCGACTGGATTTGGGCAGATCTTACTTCTTGGGGCCGTCTCGTCTTGGAACTCTCTCGGGACGTCGATCGATTCTCAGGTATCTTGGAGGAGAAATGGAGGCTCCGGAGGCCCCGGGGGGAGCGTTGATGCCACCCCCTACCCGCCGGGGCCTTCCTAGGCCCACCCTCCTCTAATCGGTCGGCGGAACCGTAACATTTGCCGAACGTTGTTATTTTAAGGCCTCTTGCTGGCATTGCAGCGTGGCCCACATCGGGGAGCGTTGGGTTTGCCGGGTCACTGGCCAACGTACCCGTCAGTGGAGTCCCCGTGAGAGTGGCGATGAATCGGATTTCAGGTCCCAGGGGAGGGGGAAAGGGGAGAGGGGCCCAGCCGCTCGTCTCACTTGCCTTGGCACCCCGGGCAAGCGGGGTCGGCAGATTCTCTTCTTGTTGTTCTTTCCGATAGTTTGCTTGTGTTTGATTATGAATCGCAGTTTCGTAGTGAATAAACAGTGTTGGTGTCATGAATAGTAGTATTCCGCTTGTTCTTATCGATATTTATAGCACTATGCTCAGTTTTACTTATTACTGGTATCATTAGTATGATTGATCGCATTCGCATTTCTAGGACACTTATTGGGTATGTTTCATTCAATTGTTATGTCCACTGGTGATTCTCTATCTGGGCACTTTCGGCCTTCAAAAAGGGTGCTGCCGCTGCAGCGTGGGCCTCATTCCAAGATCGGCGCATGGTCCCCGTCGAGCAGACTGCACTCGCGTCCAGGCGCGGGCCACTTTCCTTGACCCGAGTCCCTCCTCATTGTTGCCGCCTCCCTCCTTTGCCCTCCTCCGCCTTCCCCTGGTCCTCCTGTTCCTCCCACGTCTTCCCTCCAGCTCCTTTTGCTGCTGTTCGTCCTCGTCGTCCTCCTCCTTCCTCATCCTCCTCATTCCACACCCGGTCATCCTCCTGCTCATCCGCTACCTCCTCCAGTGTACGCAGTTCCATGCCACCGACTTAGCAGCGCACATGATGGGGGTCTTGTTTGGAAATCTCAGGTCCGCCACGACACACGCGTCGGAGGGCAGAGTAGACGTCAGCGCAGCGGGAAGGGATCGGTGGGAGTGGTAGGATGCCAGACGTGGCGCGAGTGCCCCCCTCCTTTCCTGTCCGCCCCTCCCTCCCATCCACCCATCCGCACGCACCTCCTCTGCTTCCCCCCCGCCCCCCCCCCCCCCCAGGGCTCGTTTCGATTCCTCCGATTCGATCCGATTCGATTTCGATGGTTTCCGATTCCGATTCGATTCGACTTTGGATTCCGATTTGGGCTCCGATTTCTCAACGGAGGCCTACTAGCCTGCCGATTTCCGCCGATTCGACTTCTCCCGACTTGGCTGCCGATTTCCGCCGATCCGAATTTTTCCGATCGCCGATCCGACTCATCGATTCGATTCTGGGTTCTCCTGCCCCCCTCTCCGTACCCCTCAGGCAAGGAGGAGCTGGAGGAGCGTTGCCTGGCTGTTCCTCACCCCGCCTTCTGTTGCCCCCATCGTACTTGAGGACCACATCCCGGAAATGATTTCGAGCACCCAGAAAAGTGTCGAAGCAGTGTCGAAACAGTGTCGGACGGGTGTCTCCCAGGGCCCGACGCATGAGAACCATCGAGTTTCGCATTTTTCTTGGTGCTCGAAATTCGTTGTGGTCATCCAGGCTGAAGTTCACGCTGGTCGCTGAAAATAGGTATTTCAGAATCCAGAGAACCCAATCTACTTCAAGCGCCTGCCTACTCCAATAATCGATATGATTTGGCTGTTGTTTGTTATTCTTTGGGCGGGCCTGAACCCACTCTTCGTCATCCGCCTTCCTACTTCATGTTGCTATCTACTTCGTCCGACCGGCGTGTAGGCTGGAACGTCATAAACCCCGCCAGCCGCTTGCCCCCCGCCGCATCGGCCGTGCCGGCACTAGGGGGCCACATGCGAAGTGAACCCCACCCTCCCCCTCAGAAATCGTGTAGGGGGGGTGGGGGTAGGAATCGCATGTAGCCCCCTGGTGCACGCCCCCCCACCCCTGCGGTCGGACGCGCGGGCGGGGCAGGGCAATCGTCGAGGCGGCGGGCGGCGTGGGCGCTCGGTCCCCCGCCTGCACGCGTCTGCCCCCCCCACGGGTGGGCGGCGAGAGGACGAAGAAGAAAAAGGAAAAACAGAAGAACAATAGTAGCAATCATATTTATAAAGCAAGTAGTAATACGAATAATAATAATAGTAGTAGTAATAATAATGATAATACTAAAACTAGAACTAACAAAAGGGGGAGGGGGGCGGCGCTGTCAGGGGCAACGTTAGGGGATGACAGGCTCAGGGGAGGGGGCGGGCCCCGCAGGGGGTGCATCGACCACAAGTCGTCCACCACTCCTCACCGATGGGGGCCAGGAGTCGCTATCGGCGGCCTTCTCGCCGATTTCTCGGCGACGCATCACAGATTCAAGCCCAGTGCTCCCCCACGGAGCTGGACGCCCCCTACCGTCACCCCTCGAGATGGTGGCGGGAGGGCGGCCGGACCGGGGGCAGGAGCTCGAGAAGCACCTGGACAACGTGCAGTCCTCCCTCAATTACTTCCAGAGCAAGTACAAGGCCAGCTGGAGGGGGTTGCGCCGTCTGTTCCAGAGCGTTCCAGAACGCTCGCAGGAAGTTCCAGAACGCTCTGAGAAGGCCGCGGCGTTCGAGGCATCTTCTAGAGCCGCCGGATCTGAGAGATTCTCCCATTCATCCTCACCCGAATTTTTGTCCCCGTCCTGGCTTCGTCTCATGCACAGGCCTCCAGGAGCGGGGCAGATCGTTGCAGAGCGCTCTGCGACGCTCTGCGGGCGTTCCAGGGGGCCTGCCCGTGGTGAACAGGATTCGCTGTCGGTGTCGCCGCGGACGTTGCTAACATGACCCGGGACAACACGTCGCCTGTCCAGCAGAGGCCGCTGCCGGTTTGGGACAGCACGTGCTGTTGAGCATCGTGCCCATTTTTCCGTGCCCATTCTGGTGAAGTCAAGCAGGGTTATTTCAGTTTCAGTTCATGGGAGTTTTTTTGTGTACACTCGTAATTCTGTATTTCCAGTGCACTAGCGGCTGCTAGCGTCTGGTAATCGATGTTTTAGCGCCAATTTAACGCCGATTTAGCGTCGATTTAGCGTCGATTTGCGTTGATTCGCAAGAGCCAACAAGAGGGTATGGGAGGAAGGCTCCCATGAGTTGCCACCGAAGGTCATTGCAGTGATTTCTTTTCGGGCATGGGAGTGTGGGCTCCCAAGACCAGGGGGAGGTTCGCTGGGCGAGAGTGCACTCGTTAAGGGCTTGACGACGTCTGCGGTCCCCTCGACTCGCGCTGGAGCGTCCACGATGTGGCTGTGTTCCCGTTGACGTTACAGGATGTACGCAGGTAGATGTACCTGGAGATGCCTCGGCCTACCTGGATCGACCCCGATCTGCCGGCCTGATCCCCAGAGGTCGACCGGAGGGAAGTCCTCAAGCCTCTCGGGACCTCTCTCTCTCTCTCTCTTACTCTCATTGTTTTTCCCTCTCTCTATTTCTCTCTCTCTCTCTCTCTCTCTCTCTCTATATATACAGGTTCCCCACCCCCTTCGCAAGTCGGACGAAACGGGGGGCCTCCTCTTCCTCCTCCTCTTCTTCCTCCTCCTCCCTCCTCCTCCTCCCACTCCTCCGAGCGAGCTCCCCTGAGCGGACCGAGTCCCGCCGCGCGCGGGCGTCCTGGGCCTCCAGCTGCACGATTGGCTGGAGCTTGGGCCAAGCCTGGAGGTCTTGCGGGAGACGTCCTTGTGCCAGTCTTTGAATTGCCTTCCTCCCGCCTTCAGTGGGAGGCGCACATTCTGCTTTTAATTATCTTGCACAGCTGTGTTCTAGAGCTCGGACCTCTTTATCTTCGTGATTCGTGGTTCGTCCTCCTCCCATGGTTCGTCCTCTTCCCCTGGCCTCCCCCCTCGCTTCCTGGCTCCCCGGGGCCTCCCAGGGCAGCTCCCCTGTGTCGCGGAACCCTTTATGTTGGTGGTTCGTGGCTCATCCTCCCCCCATCCTTCGTTTTCTGATTGTGCGAGCGCCAGGGCACGCGTGCCACTTGTTTAACTGCTGCACGCCCGAACCGACCAACGCCCACAACGAGTACACCAGTCGATTCCATTGGTAATTTTCAAAAAGGGGTGGCGGGTCAGGTGCATAGCTAAAACTTTGGGCCTACAGGGCCTACAGGGTTGTTTTAAAGATGCGGGCATTATAACCTTGACGCTACCTTGCTTCTTACACCTGAGACAAGCTATGTTGACATCGGGCGCTTTGGGGTCCGCTAGGAGACAGTGGGAGGTTCTAAGCAGGGCTTCCTGAAAGGGCCTGTTCAAACCTAAGGACTCTCAGGTGCCTGCGCTCCACTTTGGGCTCCTGGTCCTCCTGGGGGAGCATGTCCTCATGCTCCCAATGATGGACCTGGATGGCCGAGATGCGGTCCCGAATCAGATCAGCTCGAATGTCGGCTCCTTGGACTTGGCGCACAATCGAACGAGGTACTGTGCGACGCCGAGCAGCACAGTTTGCAATCTCATCAGCCTGCCCATTCACGTACAAGGCCCAGGGCGGCTCTTTGGCCGCCTCTTTCTCCCTCGGGTGGCCGTTGACCTTCTGGAAGAACATCAGCTGGGCCCTGGGTGCGGCATACGTCCAAAATTTCTTCCAAGCCTGTCGGTTTCGACTGTGGCGGGCCATGGGTCCTTCCAGGAAACCTTGGTGTCATAGAGGCAGTCGGTCACACAAATCATAGGACCACCAGTGCCTTGAAGAAGCGTGATGGCTGCGGCCAACTCAGCAAGAGGAACATATTGCTGGCCTATGATGCCTCCTGAGGGCGAGCCTATACATTGCATGGATGAGGCCAGGACGCTGCTCCCCAACCACAGACACGGAGGCGAGAATCCATGGTATGCTCTCCCTCGCTCCTTTCAGTGGCCCCGATCAGGATGTTTTGGAAAACAATATTCGAGACCCTCTCACACATGCCGGTTTTATTCACGTCGTCGTCTAAGGACATGATGTGGTGGTGAACTTTCTGTAGGGCCCATTTGGCATGGACAATCCCACAGAGCCGGAGGCAGGCGTTCTGGGGGATGTCTTGGATGGCCAGGGAGATAGAGTCTTGTGTCTTCTAGATGGTTTCGGGACCTAGTGAGGGGAGCTCGGGGCAGGTCCAGAACTTGTGGAGATCGTCTGCATTCGGCTGTCATAGGAGACAGTCGACTCGCTCTTGGAGCCCTTCTTCAGAGCGGCGAGCTTCACTCCAGCACTTGGAATATGCGAGAGCTGTCAGAGCTGAAGGGTAGGAGGCGACCTTGCTGAGGTGTTCATCTCGAGTGGCCCTTTGATATCTGGTGATATCCTCCTCCTTAATCTGAATCCGCTGCTTCCTCACTGCTGCTGATTTTCCCGCTGGGTATAACCCCATGGATGTGACGTCGCGCCCCTCCTCCAGCCCTGTAGAGTTGTGGCCCTTCGGGTCTGAGAGGCCCCGGGCGCGCATGGAGAGGTGGAACTGATTGTGATATGGACAAATCTGCTGCTCCCCAGCTGGGCGGGTTGACGCTGGGAGCCTGGCCTGAGGGGCCCGGCCACTGCCAAGCAGAGATGGGCCCCCACGCCGAACAGCGGGGCGATGACCGCCGACAGGCGCGACTTCAAGAACGAAGCCAACGATGCGGTGAGCGGAGCCTGTCTCGAAGTTGCGTCCAAATGTTTTGAGTCGCTCCGAGAAATCCCAGCTCATTGTACACAAATCTGAACCATGTCTGAGATAGATTACGCCCTAGGAAGATCGCGTGGCCGATTTCTGCGCGTTCAGCTTTGAATGCGCGAAGTCCTGCGGCGAGGCAGGCGCCTGACTTCGAGACCCCACAGGCTGCAGCTGTCTGGTGGCGCAGAAAGAGCACTTCTGAGGGTGGGGTCCTGTGACCTTGCATGCCTCAGAGGATCTGAGACTGCGCTCTTGTTCTGCAGAGAGATCGGGCCTTGGTGGTAGTCCTGGCCAGCTTCCGAATGTTTCGAGCCCTGAGGAGCCCTAGGGCCCTCCGCTTCTCGCGGACTGCTTGAGGGTCTTGATGGGGATCCCCTGGTCCTGGCGGGCCCCCGAGATTTCCTTGCTGAGGTCGAGGTTGCTGGCCGAGACGATTGACTTATCTGAAAGACGAAATCCTAGTTCTGCAAGTTCGTGACAGAGGCCCACGATGCAGCTGGGGAAGGCCTCCTTCAACGTATCGGGTTTGCCGACGAGGCGGACCCTGATGTCATCGACCCATGTTCTGATAGTGGGCGGTGGGATCTGGTGGTGGGCCCTCTCGAGGACTTCATAGAGGAGGCCCATGTCTATGGTGCGCTCTGTTCGCATTTTTGAAGTATGGGCATGCACGGGGACCAGGGATCGCTGACTCCTATAGGCGCGGCGAGGACCCCGACGGCGGTGTGGACCAGGACTCCCAGGGAGAGCGGAACCGCAGGGTACCCAGGAGTCAGAGCCTTCTGGGATAATCTCTGAATGTCTACGGTGTCGAAAAACCGTTCGAGGTCTAGGACCCCATCGACGATGGCGGGCGTGGGTGCCCTCGGCGAAAACCTCGCTGACCAGGGCTGCCTGTAAATAATTACTACCTTTGATGGCCGCATCCCAGAACCCTGCCGGCGCTGCTTCCCAGGCGAGGATCTGTCCCTGGAAGAGCCTTATGGTGAACCGATATATGGCGTTGGAAAGGGTGATCGGGCGATCGCTGGTCTTGGTCTTGGTCTTGAGGGCCACGAGGTTGAGTGGGCACTGGGCAGGGTACTGCTGTAGCCTACAGATATCGTTCAGGTCTGTCAGGATCTCCAATCCTGGTTCTGGGGGCCGGCGAAAATCTGCCGTGCGCCACTGGTCGGCGCCGGGTGCCGAGTTGGCGGGAAAGGTCTTCAAAGCGGCTGAAACCTGCGACGTGGAGAACTGATCGTCCTGGTCCCAAGAATTCCTGCGCCTGCTGCCTGAGCTCTCGAGCCCATGGGGCCTCGGGGGAACCTCCAGCTCGCTTCCCTCTGGGT